GGGGCGACAGAACTTCATCGGCGCGAGAGCGAGGATCCTGACAAAATGGGAACCCTGACGTGGACAGTAAGTAGAATATGGCGCATTGCGCATTGTATTCAGAGTTCTTAAAATGGATGCCACGGTGGTCTAGCGGTTAGAACGCTGGCCTTGTAATCCTGGGGTCTCGGGTTCGATTCCCGGCGGTGCCCGAATTTATAACTTGTGTTGGGCAAGGCCGTGGTCTAGGCAACACGGAGTTTTCCTCCGTGGCATCCCAACAATTACTCCATTCACACACAGAAGAAGGCAATGGCAAACCACTTCTGGATCATCTGCCAAGAACGTATATGAACAGGTCCCAGTCCGAGAAGAGAAAAGGATGGAAGGATCCTGTTCATATGGACCTGTCGTCAGACAGAACACTAAATAAATAAATAATTTCATATCCGAAACTGCTCGACGGATTTCTATTAAATTTCCCATTGAATTCTCGAATTAACTCAACGTTTGTGTGTGTCGATTGGGTTATAAATTTTACTTTACTCGAATCCAATATTGAGGCGTGTGTGATCACTGAACGAAACACAATGGAAAGTAATAATTTCACCTGCAAATATCAGGTGTGGTTAAATCTGTAACAAAACATTTGTGAACATCACGGCGCCTGAGCTACGCTACACCGCAAAACACAAATATTGTGTTGTGTCAAACACAGGCCAGCTCTTCGCGTCAGCCTGTGAACTGAATTCATTTTATTATCAACACAAATATCATCGCCGACACAAAGCGTTTCATTCACAAGGACAAAACCACAGGTGAGCATCGCACTTCACGAGCAGAGAAGCTGATGTTCGCTCATCCAGTCAAGAAATTGCCTGCCTTTTATGAAGGGTAATAATAAATCAGTAATGATATAGTACGTCTTAATAACTGTTTAATTAAAATGTTCAGTGCCAGTCTTTATCTTTAGGGAGCTGATATTCTGCTTTTAAGATTTTCATGAATTTGAATCGTATGCCCGTATACGTCCGCGAAGCCTTGTAGCCTTACTGCGCCTATGTTCAGGGTTTATTTCTCCGAAACGTCGGTATCAGCACAGAAAAGGACACCAACGTCTTCGCCATGAGACAATCAAATCTCACACAACGCGGCATTAGGGAGGTCTCCGGTTCAGGCAGGGTTTCGTGATCTTACTTAGTCCTTCCAGGAAAATGCATGAATATTACCTTAGAGTAGGCCACGACTGATGACTTCCACAAACTGCACTGAGCACAGTGGAACAATAAAGGAAATTTTGGTTCCAAACTAGCGAAGAAATATTTGGTCAGCTGAGCGAAGGGCAGCTTCTCGTGGAGGATCCCAACGCTACTTATCGGTAATAATAGGATGACGTCTCTGCTTCCAGGTGGGGCTGCTACTCGCCTTCGCAATATTCACCGTGCATCAGCAAGTGGGGGCGGCGCCAGCACCGGAAGGGGGCAAAGAAAAGTCAACCGCGGATCAGGGGGAGAACGGCGAAGGCAAGAAAGCGAAGAAGCAGAAGGAGGACGACGACGACGACGACGACGACGACGACGACGATGATGATGAAAAGAAAGATAAAAAACACGGAACAACGAGACAGGAAATATCGACAACTGAACGAGGCTCAACTCTTACGGGAAATACAGAAAGTTCGTCACCTCTGTCGACAACTGAACAAGGCCCAACTCTTACGGGAAATACAGAAAGTTCGTCACCTCTGTCGACAACTGAACAAGGCCCAACTCTTACGGGAAATACAGGAAGTTCGTCACCGTTGTCGACAACTGAACGAGGCTCAACTCTTACGGGAAATACAGGAAGTTCGTCACCGTTGTGGACAACTGAACGAGGCTTAACTCCTACGGGAAATACAGAAAGTTCGTCACCTCTGTCGACAACTGAACGAGGCTCAACTCTTACGGGAAATACAGGAAGTTCGTCACCGTTGTCGACAACTGAACGAGGCTCAACTCTTACGGGAAATACAGGAAGTTCGTCACCGTTGTCGACAACTGAACGAGGCTCAACTCTTACGGGAAATACAGGAAGTTCGTCACCGTTGTGGACAACTGAACGAGGCTCAACTCCTACGGAGAACACAGAGACTTCGTCAGCTGGAATATCTGACAGAACGGGACAGGATCAGACGACAACAGAAGTTACTGCGGTGGCAGTTACTTCAACATCTGCGGTTACTGTGGCCAGTGGAACTGAAGTTACGCAGGCACAATCATGTGACGTCAAAGATATAGCACTGTTATATGCGCAATATGTACTGAGAGCTCGTGGAGAAAGTTCCGAAGGAGACGTTCTGTACAACGCACACCAAGTTCCACTGCAGTTCATTGTAAGCGTCTTGGAGTTGCAAGGTACTGACTCGCAAGACGTCACCATCGACAACTTACGTAACATCGCGTTGTTATATATTATGTACGACTCATAGTAATCGCTCAAGTACAGTCTTATGAATGATATATCGTGGCAAATAAAATGCTGTGAAGAACACGGGGCAATTTAAAGTTACGCAGGACAAACGGAGCGTTGAATCGGAGTGCTTTTTAAAATATGGATATAAATTTGTAATATTGTAATAAATTAATTAATAGCCGTTATGTGTATCTTATTGAACATGGTCTTGCACGTTACGCATTATCTTACATTTATTTTTGTTATTTACTATTGAGCTTATTAAAATGCTTTAACGATGATTTTGTCAAAATCGGTGTTGCAATAAATATCGAAGTTGCTAAGCGAATATTAACTATTCTCAAAATTATTTTAAAATCCCATAATTATTTTAAAGACTTTTTTTTTATTAAATACGCCAACTGCTGCTGGTTGTTACCGCTACTATAAAGACATTTGAATCCTGCAGATTTTGAAAATCGGGTTAAGAGATGAATAGCACATCGCAGTTTGCTTGGAACACGTGAAGCATAAGTTTAAGGCTCAACACATTTGACGTTCACAGATGCATTCGGCGTATGTAGCTCGATTTTATGTGTGCTTTATCAACATTTCGGGTTTCTGATAACCGACGCGGGTGCTAATGCAGGCGAGAGAGAAATCGTGCTGTTTTGGGTCAAGAGCGGATGATACAACAGAACGCAATACCCTCAAGCATTTTAGACAAAACTTGGTGTTTAATCATGCTCATATAGGCGTGCAAGAGTATCCACATAAATACATCAAATAAAAGCGTTTAGGTTATCTCTCACGGCGGTGGCCGCTGTCTTCTGGTTTGTAACGCAGCGTGGAGTAGTTGGCAAAACCAGTGCTTAAGGGGAACATACTGCTTCCATTTTCAGTCTTGAAATCTACGTACATGTCCACACGACGTCACTGGGAGAAGACCAACATCGACAATTTACAGGGCAAATGCAATGCTCAGTGCGTTCTGTCAGCTGCGTCAGGAGTCCAGGGGAGTCATTCTGAAATGTGAATCGTTTTCGTCCTCCTTGGCCAAAGTGGCGTCACACGACCACAGCGACTCTAGTGTCCAGTGCCTTCAGCCTTGACAAAACGTTGCATATGTCACACTACACAAATATCTCCCACCACCATGGCAGGCTTACTTTCCCGTTAAACTATGACGTCCCAAATAATATTTAAAATAAATTTATAGACATATATAGTAATAATTTCTAATGCAACGTAAGTTCTAAGGTGATGATTTCTAGATATAAACTTTGACCTGACTTGTATGTAACGTAAGATCAACTATTTGAAGCTTAATCTCGCCGAAATAACATTTAAGAATTCAGTCCGTACCGCAAAGAAAACACAACACTTCACCATTACATCGATCAACTGGTTAACGCTGTTTAAGAATCTAATCGCTGTTTATTCTGAGAAACATACGAAACACACAAATACAAAATGAAGATCCAGTGAATATGAAAGTACCTGGTACATATAGTTACCACTGGGTTTTAAAGGGTTAATATAGGTGTGAAATTAATTAAAATGTAAATCGCCAGATAACTTTTTTCTTTGCAAACTTCCAGTGCCAATTTTCATTGAAATGAGATGATTAGATTTATAGACGAAACATGCAGATGGCGAACAGACGAGGCCTCGCCTCTCGTATTTCACAGAGTTAATGCAGAAGCTCGTAACTCGGAGGGCCAGCCATTTGTCGGGCCTGTCATGCAGTATTAGATAACACAAGTAAAGACAATATGGCATGTGTGTCTTTTACATAACACGCGATATGCAAAGTACATTTAAAGTCGTGAAAGACAAGTTTCAATTGTCCGCGTGTCTTCATATTTCAACCCGAATACTCCCCAAGAAATTCCAAATGCAATTCGTACATTTAAGCTTAGTGAGCGAATTTTATAAAAATTAAGCCTTCCCACTATACGCCATGTAGGCGCTTTGGGGGAGAGGTGGTATAGCTCCTACCCATTCTTATCCTCTGGCTCAGGATATTGACTGCGAACACGGTATTAAATCTCCAGAATCCAGAAAAGTCGAAAAATGTCCTCACTAGCTAATCGCACTGTCAGATTCTCAAGAAGGTCTCTGTTCGATGGGGTATATTAGTTTGTTAGTTAAATCAGGCGGAACGAAAGACCAAGGATCTTGAAAATAAAATATGACAAAGTTCAGACCAACCGTTCTCGGGTTACGAGATGACACAGCATAAATGTCCTTTTTTTTTTGTTTATCTCAAAAAACCACAACACTTTCGGGAAGAGTTTATTTTATATAAAATAAGTGTTTCATTTTTCTTTAAAAATTTCGCTCAAAACATGTTACGTTGTAATAAATATCTCACTCTCCGTCTGAGAGCAGAGACGAATCAACCTTCACATAAATCATCCGTTATTCTCGTGAGATACTAACAAACATTAAAATATGTCGACAAATTTTATTGAATCTCTCTTTCAAAATCCATTCAGCAATTCTTAAGTTATTGACATTCGGACAAACGGGCGGACTTTTGCACCACAAAACCAGTAAAAATCCTTTCATTTGTCAACCCATTCAGAGCTCAGTTTCAGTCGATCTCTGTAACGGTGAAGTGTAGTGTTTTCTTTGCGGTACGGGACTGAATTCTTAAATATTATTATTTAGACGAGCCTCGCAGTTCCCCCTACTCTGGACCGACCGTGAAACTGAGGCTTCAGTGACGAATTGAATATATTTGTGGCCATAATTTTTGTAACTGGATTAGCAACGAACCAACTTTTTCGTTTCGTAACCAAAATACATACAACGAAACGTCAAGTTAAGACAGTTTCCTGTTCAGCAATATTGAAGGACTCCGATTAAAGTCGAGGTCATGCGATTTGCTCCGTTCACATGCCTAGAGCCACTATCGAAGGGAATTCCCCTGTCCATTATCCAGGAACTATAATAAACATTATTTATTGTTTAGAGTGTGAGTAGATAGGCCCTTGTTTCGATTAAGAACTCGACATAAAAGTCCCTTTGGCTTTCATTATCACCTGTCTTCAGTATTTCCGTACACCCTCACGTGTTTACGTAAGTCTGAGGCCACACACTTAAGATTACAACGACAAAAATTTTTTTTTTTACAGATCAGAAAATTTCTTTTGTGTGTGTGGGTTACAATCATATGACGATAGTGACAAAAACGCCTTGCATATAAAGCGGTCTTAGCCAATACGCTCACAGTTCGGCATTCGTTCCTCAGCTCTGCAGCGCAAGAAGGCATCAGCAACATGACGACCCTCAGATGGACAGTAAGTAGTCGTATTCGAGTCTGGAAACGTGTCCTCCAACATGGAGTACATGACATTTCCAAACAGCTCGTGTTCCTTGCCATTTAGCGAGACTGCAATTAGACGTAGAATGTCTCCTTGCAGATTTGCCGTAAGAGAGAAACGTTTAATAGTTCAGCCCGAACCGCAAAGAAAACACAACATTTTCACCATTACAAAGATCAAATGGTTAGCGTTGTTTAAGGAAATAGTCACTGATGAAAGTTGTGTTTTCTTTGCGGTTCGGGCCAGAGTTCTTAAATGTTACTCAGACCAGCTTCACGTTTCAAAGGGGGGACCGCTGATATTTTTGTACGATTCAGGCAGGAGTGCGTCAGCAAGAAGCCTAGTTGATGATGATGATGATGACATACAGTCATGCACTTTTTATTTTATTATTCTGGCATTAATTCTGATTAGCCAATTATGAATTGTAAAGAACGTGCCAGACAGCAGCCGTGGCCTATTTTAATGTACTAAACCACGAAACATTTCAGTCAAGACAGCCGGTCTGTGGGCCAGAATTTGAACCCAGGGCCTTCTTAATACGAAGCAGCGACGTTCTGTGTATTTACTTTAAAATTGTTTTTAAAAAAAATTAACGTAAAAATTAAAATTAATGGACGCTCAGACGAGAACCATTAACCCTTTGAAGCCGAAGATCGTCTGAATATTATTTATGAATTCAGTCCGTACCGCGAAGAAAACACTTCACTTAACCATTAGAAGTCGAATCAGGCGGTACCACATAAGATTTAACAAAGAACATCCCGGTCAAAGCCTTAAGTAGTTTCAGCGGGGGGAATGCGAGAAACTTCTTTCTGAAGCAGCACACAAGCCCTGTGTCCTCTCCTTGTGTCCGCAGGTGGCAGCTGTCTTGCTTGTCTTCGCAGCGTTCGCCGTCCAACCCGACGCGGAGGCGACGCCATTAGGCGATATCGGTCAGCTCGACAAGATACTGCAAATAATCCAGGCTGGAGGGGTAAATGCCACCGGCAGCTTCCATTTCCTCAACTACGACATTCAGGTGCAGTTCGTAATAACCTTCCTAAGCATCAAAAGCATCGACATCCGACACGCCACGGTCCAAGACATCTACGACGCCATTTTGATATACATTCGTCTGTATGTCACAGTAGATCGTGGCAACGGAGATGTTCCTGAATGCGACGTCATAACAGTGCAGTTTATTTTGCAATTCTTGGAGGTTCAAGAAGCTAATCGAAACGGGAATTTCTACTTCTACGGTTATCTAATTCAGACACAGTTCATCATAGAAATTGTCAAGATACAAAATTCGAGCGTCGAGGCATTGACGATATCCGAGCTGTACTACATATTGGTGGTCTACATAGGACATGAAATTGACACCAGCGGTAATGAACCACGGCCCTGTGAGGTCGAAATCGAAAGCTTGAAAATTGTACGGGAGGAACTGAAGGTGCAAGGCTGCAATGCCAGTGGGGCCATCGTAATTGAAGATCATCTTATATTATTCGAGTACATCGTGAGCGTTCTACACATACGAAACACGTCCGTCAACAGCGTCACTACTGAGGAATTATGGGTAATAATACAGCTAGCCATTGAGTTCCAAAATCAAAGCAACTGCTCCGAGACGCTCGACCAAAAGATACTGTCCTTCTTCCTCAACGTTACATCAGATACTGAAGTTATTGACAGTTCTGTTCTTGTAGTGAACGGGACCCGGATAACTATTAAGTGTATAATTACTGAACTGGACCTGAAAATTGACAGCTCTGGAAAGTACGACACTTCTGGAGTCACTGCTGAAATTCTGATTCAAGCAATTTTTGAGATTGAAACCCGCTCCAAAGGGCCAACTACGACCACTTAAATATCTGACTGAACGTAAGCGGTTCTGTTCTGAAACTTCATGACGTATCTAAGTCTTTTTCATGCGCTTAGCGATGAAAGAACCACGGAGAAACAAATTTAACCTTAAGTATCGAGTAACACGGATGTATACTTTTTGCAATAACACACAGAATTGTTACTGTAATGAGCTTGGATGCAATTCATATCCAGTGCAACGTTAAAAAAAACCTATTTGTTCTTGGTTCACTAACCAAATAAATTAATCGTATTGCTTTCACCCAACTGAGCTACGACAAACAAAGATTTCTTACCTTCTTATTCGGTTTCGTGTTATTGTTTGTTTTGTTTTGATTTTTGTTTTCATTCTTGGATGTATCTGCTCAACTGACAACGCTCCTCCGTATTTGGATGCTCGTAACATTCCACTAAGCTCTGCTCACATTTTTGGATATAAGAACTAATGTTCAGCATCGATTTTCAGTTGTTTCACTTTACACCTCGCCCATAAATTTAAAAGCCATCAAATTCTCCCGGAAGGAAGTTTCTACAAAATCTTAACACCGCTATTCTTGGTGTGTTGCTGAGACGTCTCCATGAAAATAACGTCACAGTCGTCATGAAATGTTACTCAAACTGTGGAGCGCAAAATATCAACGGTATACACACAGATCGAGACGAGGTTCGAACGGGTGGCATCAGCGAAAAGTACGAAATATCTCGACAGAGGCAAGTAGACGCCTTCTGATGGACAGGGGGTCTGTTCGCCTGTCGCCGCGACGCAACCAATCGATCTGATTGGCTGCGAGATCGCGCCTGTTTAAAATAATATTCATACGCGCGTACACGTGCACTGGAAAATTATAAACAGAACCGACACTTCGACTTGTGTCCCGTCGCAGAAAAATCAAAACATTTCATGACGTTGTCATTAGCAATTAATATTGATGACTGTACAAATGGTTGAATCCCGATGTTAAGAACTCTTTCTTCCGACGTCTGAAACGGCTGTTTGCAACTTAAAACTCCAAGATTAATCAACCTCCCAATAAACAGTATCGTCGTTAAACACTGGAAGCCATGCATCTGAAAGAGGGGGCGTGTCCCACCGGCTACACCAATTAAATCATTTCACGTTAATTAAAGTTTTATTGTAATGTTTATGTAACAAAGGCGCACATCGGTGATATGTAAACTGGTTGAAATAAAGTACACTTAGTAAACATCAACGAACATCCTTATTTGAACCTGAGTTTCGATGCGAGGATAATATTAAAAAGGTTATTTCGGAAACAGAATTCGGAGATGTGGATTGGATTCACGTAGCCCATGACAGGATATCTGTCAGTGTAGTGAACGGTCTATGAACTGGACGACCGGGCTTCGATTCCAGACAGAGAATTGTCCTCCTCCTCGTTATTACTACGTTCTTGCCAGCTCTCGGGGCAATTTTAATGGAAATTTGCCAAAAAAACCACTTCAAATCAAATCTTAGCAAAAGAAAATTATGGCGATTTTGATGGAGACAGCAAGGACCTCTGAAACGTCGGAAAACTTAAACCAGGCTACACGGCGCTAAAACCCAGAAGACAGCCATATTCAGACTCCCCGCCGTCAAAACCTCAAATCCTACTAATTTCATTTATATTTCAAACACCGATTTCTACTCTGGCACAGTTGTCAGCACTGATTCACATCTCAAAAATTGTGCAAAAGAGTTTGGTGCAAAAAGGACGAATCTCCGTTTTCATGAAGGTTTTCTAAACACATAAAAATTTGATAAGTCATGTTAAATTGGTGTACACGAGTATCCAGATTGACTGTGATTGCACTATTTTTGAACCGAAACTGACCCCCTCGTCTTCTGAGAAAGGAATATTTGATCGCATTCTTAATAAGACGATGGGGTCTGGAGAAAACTGCACAATGACGAGCTTAAAAATCTGTACTCCTCCCCCAGTATTGTGAGGGTGATTAAGTCGAGAAGAATGAGATGGGCTGGGCATGTAGCGCGCATGGATGGGACAAGAGGTGTGCACCGGGTATTGGTTGGGAAACCTGAAGGGAAGAGACCGCTGGGGAGACCTAGACGTAGATGGGAGGATAATCTCAGGCGGGATCTATGGGAGATAGGAGTTGAAGGAGACTGGATTTTGCTGGCCCAGGACAGAGTCCGGTGGAGGGCTTTGGTTAGTTCGGTGATGAACCTTTGGGTTCCGTAAGCCATCT